CCCCAAAACCCCAAAACCCCAAACCCCAAAACCCCAAAACCCCAAAACCCCAGCTGGAATGCTTATATTGAGAATTATGAGTCACCACTTAATATATTTAATCAATATGTATTCTGCTAAATCAAAATGAAATACTCAGGGGATCCCTTTTATGCCCTTTAATATTCCTCTGGTATCGAGAGCTTCCTTGAATAATGGAATCAATGGTACTAAATTGTATGCCCCAAAACCTATCAGATCTATACCACCAATGAGTTTATTGGCTCAAAAAATTCCAACACTAGACTTATCATCTGTTCCCCTTCTATCAAAGCTACAACAGTTGAACCAAAGTGCTGAGGAAGTAATGAATAGCTCAAACGGAGAGACTTCTGTTACTGCTGACTTGGCAAGATTAGAAAGGAGGACTTCAGAGGCTAGTTTCCAATCAAACAGAGAAGAGTCAGCCTTTAAACCATGAAATGAAGGTCATGGTGAGGAAGAAAGTCCATCTCTTTCATCCTCATCTAAAGTTGTAAGTGTTAGAATTTATTCTAAACAATTGTCACTAACCGTTACTTATAGATAAAGTCACTAAATAAAGAGGATACTTCAGAAAATAAGGAAAAAGAGCCACTTAAGAGATGGAACAGGACTGATGACAAGCATCTCTGGAAGATCATAAGAACTGTTGCAGAAGATCAGAACGAGTCTCTTGAAGAGATTCTTGAGTGAATCATTAACGACACTCAGAGCTCTTATTGGAAAATGATTCTTCCAACTTTAAGAGATCAAGGTAAAAATCTTAATGTCAAGATTTATGACTTTTTTCAAGTCTTTAGCAATTTAAATGACACTCTGAGTGTTAGAAGTTGTTCTAATTATCATTTTTAGTTGAATCCTTTTCTGAATCCCAAACTCTTGACCAAGTTGATAAGAAAGGAATGAAGTTCTTTGTCAAAAGAGTTATCAAACTAAACAACATGAGGGCTGTCTCAAGAAGAGAACATAAACTGATCAGGAAGTTACTCAGATCTAACAAAAAGGAGAGTAGCTTAGATTGGGAGCAGATTCTGTTCCATTTCCCTGGGAAAAGAATTCAGGAATTGATGGAATACACTCTGCAGAACTTTCCAAAGTACTTCCAAAATTCTGATGCTGAGAAGCCTGTGAATATCCAAAAAGTGCAGTAAAGATGCGAGGACCTCTCTGATTAAATTCTGCAACTAGCTGACAAAAAATGCAAATATTATGATAATTTTGTTAATTGTTTCTAATAAATTCGAAACTAATCTTCTTGGGCTTGTTCAGCAAAAGTAATTGATCAAAAATCTCATGTTTTAGGAGGGTTTATTGGTCACAAAATAAAATAGAATTCTCAGTTACTTCATATCTCTCTAAATTTTCAATAAGTTATCATAACTAGCCTCTGGTTACCTTGCTAAATATTCTGATTCGTCTATTTCATGCTTTGTTTAGAGTCTCTTTTTATAAAGCAATTTTCGATTCTTAGCAGGAAGGAGTGATTAGAACCGGACCTGGTATAAATTTATAACTGCATAGCGATTTTTGAAAATCCTGTTGAGGTATTCGAAGCCTTAGAAATCTCCTCATCTTAAAAGTTTGGCATATCCTAAGCTACAGAGCTCTTAAGTTATTTTTAAAATTGTATGCTTACACTTGAACTTTCTTAAATTGCGAATCTGACACTTTAGTTCATGAAAATCAGCCTTATTCACCGAAAAAGTGACCGAAACACGAGAACTGGAAGAATTTAATACCACTTCATCTAAAGTTTTAATGAACTTTTCAGAAATTCCCAACTGTGAACATAAAGATTGGGCTCTCTTATTTTGTGAAATCAATCAGTTCTGTTATTGTAAGAAATATGAAAATTTGTTCTGAGAGGAAAAATTTTGCTATACCTACATATTGCTAAGTGGTAATTGGGAATGTGTTTGCCGAATCCTCTCTTATCAGAAATTTCTTACCCAAGATCTCCCCTTAATATATCTTAAAGAAGGGAGAGAGTAGGAGAGATTATATTAGGTTTAGCATCATTATCCGAACTTCACAAGTTCTGAATGTCCTGAATAAATAAATTTCCCAAATAATTCTGGATACCTAGCAAAGAAAGCAACAATGGTGGTGACTGGTATCTTCTAAATGTAGCGTACAGAAGACATCCAAAGAGATATCAGCTCTCTGGGAAATAAAACTATAAGTAATTTTATAATTTAGGAGTAGGCTTGCTTAAGTGGTATTTTGTATAACGATTTATAAGAGCTCGAGGAACACTTTATCATTTGGATTCTCTTACTCTGTGTATTGGTTCTAATTCCCAAGAAATGAAGGAAAATTTTTCCCTACAAGTGTTACATTTGAAAAAGATGCATTTTGGAGAGGCATTAGATATAACCAGGCTCTATAATCCTTTCAAAAGCATTAATTTTAGGGCAAGAAAGCCATTTTTACTTCAACATTGAAATGTGATAAAGGGGTTTTGGGGTTTTGGGGTTTTGGGGTTTTGGGGTTTTGGGGTTTT